CAGAGGAATAGCATATAGATCAGAAATGACTTCCTAGTAAAGGTGGGTAGGACAAGTCTAATTCATAAAGCAAGGACAGAACAACAGAAGATGTGGTAAAAAGAACTAAATCATGATACTCATCCTACTGCATAAGAGGTGTAAATTCAAAGAGATTGAGTAATTTGGGAAGGCTTCATGGAAAAGGTAGGCTTGAGTTAAGCCTTTAAGGTAAGTAGAGCTTAAATAGGTAAAAAAGAGGAGGGCATTCCAGGAAAAGCACAGGTTTGGGGATAAGGGACGTGAGCAAAGATATGGCAGTACAACCCAGTAAAGACACCTGGCAGAAGGGATGTGTGTGGACAAGAGTGAGAAACTGGAAGAAGAACACACAACCATTGAATGAATGGTTGAAAGTTACCCATTGATTGAATGAATGAATGAATGAAAGGTATGAAGTTTGCATTAGAGGATGGAGGAACTGAAGTCAAATTGAACCAGCCAGGCAGCTGTTGCCATTATCCACGTGGGTGGAGATGAGGGACTGGACCAGGCTGCTGACATGTTAGAGATCATAGGCATATGGAAAAATAAACCACTGGTGCTAGAATAGATAGAAGCATCCAAGGAAATATTGCCCTCACCATGATTGGGTTTGGGGATGTATCCATTCACTTTGGGAGTCAAGACCACTGGGTGATTTTGAGATTTACATGAATATTAGGGGGCTTTTAAGTAGCCTATTTTAAATCTTTACCCTATTTAAAAAATCTAACATGAAACAAGCTAATCTTCTGTAGTTCAGGCAATCTTCAGTTTATTAGATGAAGTGCTAAACTAAGGTTTTGGGGACTGCCTACTGCTTCCTCCCTACCATTCCCTATTCTCTCCCCAATACCCTGTTCCCCACTCCCATTGTTGTCTTTTTTCATTTTAGCCGTATCGTAAATTGTTAGAGGTAATTTATAATTTACTAAAATCTGAAATAATCTTTTGCTATTAAACCCAGTCAAACTCAATATGTTTAGTCTATGGCCTCAAATAAATGAATTTATTGTTTATTTTTGTGGGTAACAATTTTCTTAATAAAATCAAAGCAAATACCACATGCTAAACAGAGGAATTAATGTCATTATATATTTGTCTAAGTATTTTGTCTCATGTTGTGGTTCATCAGTAGGCCTAAGTCCTTTGTCTAGGATCATCCTGCTGGCTGCATCCTATGAGGTAAAGCTAATCTTAACATATATATATATATATATATATATATATATATATATATATATATATATATATATAATGCAGTATTTCTTAAGAAATGTTCATGAAGAAGCATTTGCCTACCGGAAAGAGCATGAATTCAGTTCAGATCTTAGCTTTACCAGTTTCCATATGATTTTGAATACTTAGTCCAGTTTTTTCAAACTGGAATCAAAAATAGATCACAACTCATTAGTGGGTTGTGAATCTGATTTAGCAGGATGCAAAACAGTGTTTTTAAAAAGTGAAATAAAATAGAATAGAAAATATCAGCATGCATTGACTATAGTAAGGGTAAGTATTGTTTCATGAAACGTTTATTTCAGTGAAGATATGTCTATGTGCTCTTCAGTGGTCCTGATTATAAAAGCTGTTTCTTACTGTGGGTTGAAGTAAAACAGTTTCAAAAAACAATGACTTAACCATTCTGAAGCTCAGTCTCCATAAAATAAAATCTCTTTCACAGGGTTGTAAGGAATAAATGAGGTAACGTTTGTATTCATACACAGTAGGAGCCCACAAGCAATAACTGCTAGTAGCTTCTTTTTCTTTTCTCTGAAAAAAAGCCCATAATATCTATGGTTTGGGAGAAAAATTACTCTTTATAATTTCTTTAACCATAGGGGTGTTTAAAATATAACTGGAGCTGGGTCCTCTAGTTTTACCAACTTTTGATGAAGAAGCCATCTTCTTTCCCCAGTTTGATGACATTTAAATAAATAAATGACATTACTTGACCCTGTTGGTACTTTCCTGCCCTCACACCCCAAGGTGCCACATGCGTACATGCTTTCCCACCAAAGTAAGAGGCTTCACGTGCATACAGGACAGTATGGGGTTCCTATAGAGTCACCATGTACATGGGTCATCCATGTACAACCATCTATACCTGTAGCAGCTCCCTGGGACCTAAGATAGAGGTAAGTGGTGTTTTTTTCTATCGAAAGAGAATCTAAAAAATAGTTTGTGTGGTGAGGAATTTTAGAGAATATTATAAATGTTATGTTTTTAAATCAAATATGGGAAACAATAGCATTCAGTTTTATAATCTGACAAGGAGACAGGAGAAAAGAAGAAAAGCAAACAGGAAGGGAGGGGAATAATTTAGTCAAAACATTTGTTTGTAAATATTTTATCAATTCATTTAAGAAAGATAAATATTTTCCCAGAACAACTACGACAACAAACAATCAGACAGTTGGCCCTGTTCTGCATTTTTGGAAATCTAATGCTTGACTGGATTCTCGTATCTGCTTCTGCATTCAATCTGTTGCTGTATGAACAAATATAAACATTTTTTCCTGTGGTAGAAACTAAGAATACAGCTAGGATACAAAGATAAATCCTTTCCTGCCTTGAGGAGCTCAGACTAGAGGAGGTTGGAGACCCAGAAATAGAGGGAAACAAAGAAAATTCCAAAAGAAGGCAGAAAGACAAAGTCATAAAGAGATGCACAGAAACTTACACATAAGAGCCCTTAGAGCTATGAACAAGGAAAACTTGAAACAAAATCTTCTACCTAATAATACTGTGTGTGTGTGTGTGTGTGTGTGTGTGTGTGTGTGTATGGGGTGGGGGTGGGTCTCAGTTAATAAAGGACTTATAACTGCTGTAGCTACAAAAAGTTCCTACTTAGTTTGAACAGAGATGTTACTGGAAAATAAAAAACTTCCTACTATAAAAAGTAAGCTTGTCACATCTCTTTTTACAATGTTTCAAAAAGCCGTCTTACAGCCCTTGGGATCCCTATCCCTTGAGGGGATGGATGTGTGACATTTTAAACTCTAGGGTAAACCAGGGTCATCACCTCTCCATACTTGCCAGACAGCTGACTGGGAGCTGGCCAAGAGCTGCTTGGCCTGACAGATGGACTGGTGATTCCCCACTCCAGATGAGCGGTGACAAATTTAAACTATCTTTGGCACTCTTGGCCTCTTTCTCTGGTCATCTTTCCTCACTGTACTCCTGATTTAACCTAGCTTATCAACTTGCCCTCCCATGATATGAGCAAATTCCCTTCAGGATGCTCTCTCCTTTTTTCTTTGGCTGGATCATTTCTAGCAACTCTTCTTTGAGCTGGCTCACAGTATTTCTGAGAAACCTTTCAGTCATTCATTCATTCATCATATACAGAGTGGCCTTCTGTATTAATTAACAATATGTTCCTTCAACAATCAGGTACCCCATTTGTTCTACTTTTGTACATACTGCACGTTTTACATAGGTATTTTCAAGCTATTAATCTTTATTCTGCCTCCCGAACACTGAAGCAGTGACCCTCTTTCCTTTTGTCATCTATCCTATATTATTGTCCCAATAATAGTAATATAGTACTATGTATAGTAGTAACCTGTACTCTCTTTTAATCCTCACAAAATCCTGTAAAGTGTTAATATTCTTGGATCCACTTTACAGACACAGAAACGGAGATTCACAGAGGTTAAATCAGTCATTCCAAATCAAACAGCCTTTAAGTGGCAGGGAAGGTGGCATCCAGGATCTGGGCTCAAACAACTAGCCCCAATGTAGAATATTAAGTAAGGCCCTATGAGGGTTGGGACAGAGGTTCTGACGTAAAGGGTTCCTAGTCAATAAAGCTATGTGATAAATACACAAAACCAACACCAGAAGTCCATTTGCGGGGCGTATTTTTTATTTGTTTAGTTTTATACGGTTTTGTTTCGTTTGGAAGGAGTGATTATGCCCTCCAAGCTTTTGTCATTTCACTCACCTCTCCCGACCGGGCCCTGTCCAGCCCCTCCCTGAGCTGGATCGAGGTCCGGAGGCTGGAGGCCGAAGGCTGCCCAGGCAGGTGGTGACCTCGGAGGCAGAACCGCCGCCTCGAGTCGCGCCGCTAACGGCGAAAGACTGACGCGATTGAACCGCGCCATTCCCCCCAAGCGATAAGGGGCGTAATCTTGGCATCGTCCTTAAAGATGAGTAGGAAAAGGATAGTGAAGGTGACTATCTTCCCCGCCTGCCCTTTGTCTTTCTGCTGTCCAGCTGCATCCCCAGCGTCCATCCCCTGACCTGATTTACTAAGGAAGTCGTGTGGGATAACGGAGGGTGAAAGCCATTGATTGCAATTACGGTAACTCGGTTGCTAAGCCGAACGGGCTCATTTACATATAATTTGCATGTTCCTGTGCTTTCTGAAGTACGCGATTAGTCTGCACTCCTCTAACAGGGCACCCACGCCCGCCTGCCACACTGCCGCTCTCTGCTCTAGCCCGGGAACCCCTTCCCCTTATCCAGCAAATTTTACTTCCCTTTCGGCTTCCTTAGCCTCGCAAACGCTGCCTCTTAGGTCCGCCTCCCAAAGGTTGGCCCCTCCTCCCACCCGTAAGCTCCTCCCTCCGTCTTCTCCTCCCTCCCCAGCTGCCAAATATCTCTTCCCCGCCCCCTTCTCTATTTCTGAACAGGCATGTTCCAGGCAGCTCACCCGACTCCCTACATTACTATGGGATCAGTAGGGTCCTGAGTGTCGGAGAAGCAAGAAAGCATAGCCCACGAAGAAGGGCCTGAACTCAGAAGAAAATCGAGATCTGCTGGGGACTTTTTTTTTTTTTTTTTTTTTTTTTTTTTTCTCATGGTACGTGGGCCTCTCACTGTTCTGGCCTCTCCCATTGCGGAGCACAGGCTCTGGA